TAAATTATTATTATTATTATTCTCCAAATTTCTCTTTTTTTCTTATTTTTTCTCTCTTGACCTATAAAATATATATAAAAAAATAATAAAAAATATCTCTTTGACCAAAAATCATAATTCTCCTTTTTCTTCTTTTCTTGAGTTTTTAAATATTTTTTTAATTATATTTTATGTTAAAAAGCTTAAAAGAAGTTATAATAGTGTCTAACTTAATATTTTTTTAAGACATAGTTATGATACTTACCTTTATATTATTAAATTATGATAAATATATTTAACTTATTTATCTCTCTTCTCTTTATTGTCTTTCATCTCTCCTTATCATCAATTTACTCATTATTTTTTCTTAAATTCGTTTCTCCACCTTATTATCATAAACTCAAATTTTTTACAAAATAGTGTCTTATTTAATACAATATTTTTTAACATAGTTATGATACTCACCTTTATATTATTATACATTATGATAAATATATTTACCTTATTTATCTCTCTTCTCACTATTACTACAATTTATTGTCTTTTATCTCTCCTTATCATTGCTACAATTTACTCATTATTTTTTCTTAAATTCGTTTTTTAACCTTCCATTTTTATAGTTTTTTAAAAATAAAAATCTTATTATCTCTCCACCTTATTATCATAAACTCAAAAAAATTATAAAATAGTGTCTTATTTAATATAATATTTTTAAACATAATTATGATACTCACCTTTATATTATGATAAATATATTTACCTTATTTATCTCTCTTCTCATCCTTACTACGATTTATTGCCTTCCATACCTCCTTATCATTACTACAATTTTTTATTTTTTTTTACCTTTTTAGTAGTTTTTTTAAATGAAAAATTTTATTATCTCTCCTCCTTAAACATATCCTTATTGTCATGATTTATTATTATTATTCACAAAAATTTTCTTCTTTTGATCTATAAAATCAGTTTAACTTTTAAAAAAAAAAAAACAAATACCTTATTTATCTCTCTCCTCATATTACTACTATTTATTATTTTTTCTTAAATTCCTCTTTCTATCTTCTATTTTTTCAAAGTTTTTTAAAGAAAAATAAATATCATCCATCTCTCTTCCTTATTATCATAATTTATTATTATTCAAGAAAATTTTTATTCTTTCCTTTTTTTCCCTTTTGATCTATAAAATTTGCCAAAAATATCTCTTTGACTAAATATTATAATTAGTTTTTTTCTCCTATTCTTGACTTCATATATTTTTTTGTTATTTATGTACTATGTTAAAAAAATTCAAAAATACTATAACTATAATCTTATTTACTTTTTAAGTAGTTATATATATTAAGTTTAATTGATATATTTTTTATAATTTCATATTTCAAATGTTAAATAAAAAAAGTAGAAAGAGAGAACTGACTACAGATAAAGTAAAATAAAAAGTAACTCTTTTAACTTCTTTTCCATTTTTCCGTGTTTTCTTTTTATGGTAGTTCTTTTAAATTTTTTCTTTCCTTTTACTTTTTACTCAATTTATTACTATCATTCTTACTTTTATCTATATTTTTTACTATCATAAAAGAGAATCAAAAATTTATTTTCCCTTTTCATATCATTTCAGTATTCTCTATACTCATTATTTGTAAATAAAAAAGATTAATTGAAATGAATAAAAAAAATTTTAAAAAATTGAGAAAATAAATAAATAAGAATGGTGGTCATAGAGAGGTGCCACATATGATTGCTTAAATTCAGCTTTATGCCACATAGGATTGCTTAGATTCAGTTATATATATATATAGATTTCGTGATTATTTGATACCTTTCTAACTCTATGCCAGGCACAATTTGTTTATTTTTATTTGTCGTTGTTTGATTTGGCACACTTATTAATAAAATAATTATTGATATAAGTATTTTATCAAACTATCCATACTAAATGATATTTAGTGTTAGATCTTAAAAAATAAGTATTTACTGTTAAAAAACAAACATGAAAAAAATAATTTGTATTTTCTTGATACTCAAAACTCAAAAGTAACAAATAAAAATAAAACTTCATTTTAAGAATAATTGACAAGTAAAAAATGAATGGAGTGAGTATATGGTTCTGTTCGCATGAGGATCACCCATATACATACGCAATTTTACAAGTCATTTCTAAAGTAGTAGAAAAGAAAAGAAAGAAAAAAATTTCTGCTACTCGATCGCCTAGTATTACTATTATCTACTTTGTTTTATTACAAAAATAAAATAAAAATGCATGCCAGGATCAACACTGCCTACTTGGTAAATCTCTTACAAACCTCCATTGACACCAAAGCTTACACTGCAGGCAAACTTCTCCATGCCCATATACTACGAATTGGCCTTTCTGCTGATACATTCCTCCTAAACCGTCTCATAGAATTGTATTCCAAATCTGGTCATATTCACACCGCACGACACCTGTTCGATCAAATGCTTCAACCAAATATATATTCTTGGCACTCCCTCTTGACTGCTTATTGTAAGCAAGGTCAGCTTGACAATGCCCATGAGCTATTTTCGATTATGCCTGAAAGAAATAGTGTATCATGGAACACTCTCATCAGTGCATTTGCTCGAAACCGTCATGAAACAAAGGCCTTGGAGGTTTATTCTCAAATGAACGCACATGGTTTCTCACCGACCCATATCACATTCGCCAGCGTTTTAAGCGCCTGTGGTGGGTTGGCTGAATTGGAGTACGGCAGGGTGTCTCATGCTTCTGCTGTCAAGTATGGGCTTCACAAGAATGTGTATGTTGGGAATGCTTTGTTGAGCTTGTATGTAAAATGTAGCTGCCCTCGGGATGCGTTGATAGCCTTTAGGGAGTTGGATGAGCCTAATGAGGTTTCCTTCACGGCAATGATGTGTGGATTGGTAGATAATCACCAAGTGGAAGAGGCATTTGAAATGTTTAGGTTAATCCAGAGGAGTGGAATTAGGATTGACTCTGTTTCATTGTCTAGTGTACTGAGAGGTTGCGCTAAACGCGGGGGTTTGAATTTTGGTTGGAATGGTGAGACTGATAGTGATCTACCTAATACGCAGGGGAAGCAAGTCCATTGTTTCACCATTAAACTTGGATTTCAAGGAGACCTTCACGTGTGTAACTCCTTGCTTGACATGTATGCAAAAAATGGTGACATGGAAAGTGCTGTAGTATTGTTTGGAAACCTTTCTGAAACTAGTACTGTTTCTTGGAATGTTATGATAAGTGGGTTTGGACAGAATCATGACAAAGAAAGAGCGATGGAGTACATGGAAAGGATGCGGGGTATGGGTGTTGAACCAGATGAGGTTACTTACATAAATATGCTCGCGGCTTGTGTTAAATCAGGGGATGTTGAAAATGGCCGCTTGATATTTGAGAGCATGGCTTGCCCTAGCTTGATTTCATGGAATGCTATTCTTTCAGGCTATTCACAGAATGAGGAACATCTCAAGGCACTAAAGCTTTTCAGAGAGATGCAATTTCAAAATCTGCGACCTGATCGGACCACTTTGGCTATCATACTTAGTTCATGTTCTGAGATAGGGTTTCTAGAAAGTGGGGTGCAGGTCCATGCTACTTCATTAAAGTGTGTCTGTCCTAGAGACATATATATAGCTAGTGGTCTTATTGGTATGTACCTAAAATGTGGTAGAGTAGAAGCGGCTGTACGTATTTTTGATGGGCTCACTCAAGCAGATATAGTCTGTTGGAATTCTCTAATTACTGGTTTATCCTATAATTCATTGGATAAAGAAGCTTTTACTTTCTTTAAGCGAATGCTACAGATGGGGATGTTACCTAATGAGTTTTCATTTGCTACTACACTGAGTTGTTGTACAAAGCTATCCTCATTATCGCAAGGGAGACAACTTCATGGGCTGATAATTAAAGATGGGTATGCTAATGAAGTTGTAGTTGGAAGTACTCTGATTGACATGTATTCCAAATGTGGCGATGTAGATGAGGCCAGGGTACATTTTGACATGATGCCCTATAAGAATACAATTACATGGAACGAAATGATACATGGCTATGCACAAAATGGTTGTGGAGATGAAGCTATTTTCTTGTATGAAGACATGATTTGTTCAGGAGGAAAACCTGATGTTATAACTTTTATTGCCGCTCTAACTGCTTGTAGTCACTCTGGGCTTGTCAACCTGGGGCTTAAGATATTCAACTCAATGCAGCAACAATATGGGTTGATGCCACTTGTTGATCATTACACTTGCATGATTGATTGTTTGGGTCGCGCTGCCCGGTTTAGTGAAATAGAAGAACTCATTGATAAGATGTCATGCAAAGATGACTCTGTTGTCTGGGAGGTTTTGCTTAGTTCTTGTAGGCTCCATGGAAATGTAACTTTAGCAAGGCGGGCAGCAGAGGAGCTAATCCGTCTTAATCCGCAGAATTCCGCCCCTTATGTGCTTCTAGCAAATATGTATACATCGTTAGGGAGATGGGATGATACAGAGGAAATTAGAGCTGCTATGTTGGAAAGGCAGGTAACTAAGGATCCTGGGTTTAGCTGGGGGTGAATTTTTGAATAAGTAGCAAGTGTAGCAGGCTGCTTTAAATTTTGACAGACAGCTTAAGTGAAAGATGCCCCTGTTTGTTAATGGCAGGAAATTTTTGCATCTGTCTCAACTACTTGTAGGTAGTTGATATGCTCTGTTATAGCTGATCAAGCTCGGATTTCTCAAAAGGGCCTTCCAATTTTTTAGATATTATTTCAATGTACTGTTTAGTCTCCGGAAAAAGCACTATTTCTTGGCCAATGTCATAGATTTCTTGTGTGTAGTAGCTTCTCATTTTCCCAATCGAGGGATAAAAATTCTGGATATTCTTCTTTCTTCTACTGGCTACTGATATTGATACTCTTTACTTCTGTGTTTGTATCATTTTTCTGGGCTAGCAGGATACAACTATGACTTACTGGAACTAAGAGGCTCCAAGTCATTGTCAACTAATATGTAGCTTCCATATCCAATAGTTGTCACACGGAGAATGCACAAAGAAGTTTGCTGTTACATTGCAACAAATGCTAATAGTTCATACACCAATTTCTGAAAATGGTCTAAGGTGTACATGAAAGGTATGAAGCATGTATATATAACTTCCTTTATGCAGATTGTGCCTCACTCTTGCAGATCTTATGCGCCAAAGTTAAAAAAGAGCGAAAGTCCTATGTTGACATGCACTTTTTTAAGTGTTGATCCTTTTGGGAACCTTTCTTCTTCGATCATCGATGGAGGAGCTTGAGATACAGCCACAGGCATAGCAGGTTGAATCTCGACAGGTAATATACTGCTTGCAGTTTGCAGGGTTAATTCAAAATACAGCCAGTTCTAGTAGAAGGAAATATATACTTTTCTAACTTCCCTAGAGCTCCTCAAAAGGAAAAAACTCTTCCAACTTCCCTAGAGCTCCTCAAAGCCTTCTTCATCCCCTTCTTCCTCTATTCTCTGAAATTCTGTCCTCCAGGTTTCCATCTGTTGGGATACCAATATGTTTAGATACTAGGGATCTCAAGAGAATGAGAATACATTTGCACAAACCTATAAAGGTATAGTAAATCTACCTGATCATCAGAGAAACGTAGATGCTCTGCAACAAAAAGTATGCTTGTGCTGACTTCTGACACTCTTTTTGCAGAATCTTGCCTGAGGTTTCGTGCAACTTCATCATATTCAATCATCTTAACCCGAAAACCATAGCTCATAAAGAGATCGTCAAGCCACTTCTTTATGGCATACTGAACACAAACCAAGAATTAGATTGTCTTGAGGATTCTCTAATGCTTTAATTGAACAAAGAAACTGTCTGCTCAACTTACAAGATCACCAACGTGGTCTCCAACATCCATTTCAGCCAGCCAGACAGGAAGTTCTCCCAAGAAAAGACATCCCTTCATGGCTAAATTACTGACAGTGGACAAGATATCTTTAAAACTTTCCAAGTTCACAACAGGCAATCCCTACAAATGAGGTCCTATTGTTACTGATAAGATACTCTATACACATGAATTCCACATCAATTGTACGCTATTGACCATAATACATATACTTCCTCCGTCCCATTTTATATGATGTAGTTTGACTTGACATGGAGTTTAAGAAAGAAAGACAAACTTTTGAAACTTGTGGCCTAAAATAAGTGATAGATGTTTGCATGGCTAAACAATCATTTCATTAAGGGTAAAATGAACATTTTAAAGTTAAATTGTTACTCAGTATAAAAGTGTCATTCTTTTTGGGACCGAGTAAAAAGGAACCGAGTCATATAAATTGGGACACGGGGAGTAGCAAGGTCAAACCCAAATGAGGATAAAAGTGGTACTTTGAACTCAAGGTGACCTTCTAGAAGTGCAAGATGATCAGTCACGATGCTGCCAATAGCAGCGACAATTTAGGAATGTGAACTACCACAGCTGATGAGTGGGAAATATACATATTGTGATTATATGTCAGTGAAGCCAGTAGCCAAGACAAATGAAGCCAAAGATGGACACAAGTTTCACAACTAACGAGAAGTTTGCTACAATCTGGAGCACAAAGATGGAAGAATAAACAGCCGTACTCAAGAAAGATGCTCACTGTCATGCCAAAAATTTAGTCTCTGTGACATGCAGCCCAAGCTCTGTGTTTTCTTTTCTAGTTATTATCTTTTCTGGTGGATGAGAGGTGAGTAAAAATCCTCTTCTTTTGTTTGAGCTTGTATGGATGAAGAGCCAGCAGGGATAAAAACTCTAATTCTGTAAGTGCCATAAATGAATTCTTACTTCATAGAAGGTCAAAAGAAATATCCAGAAACCATATATTCACCTGAAAAGCCCATATACTTGGTCTTGTACCGCTGAATCCTTTACTGCACAGTATATTTTCTACGTCAAAAGACTCTGATGGGACATGAAAAGACATGCATCCTCTTGGGATCTTAGCCCCGGCATCTATGTCATCCACAGTGGTACCATAAGGATATGCTTCATGTGCTCATCAAACCAACACATAGGAATAAAGACAAAATGGTAGAAGGAAAATCTAGGAAGAAAAACATTATTCTTCAAACACAACCATAATACAAGTCATAGATGCCATTGAAAAAAGCATGGAAGTCTAATCAAGAATTCACTAAGCTCAGAAATAATATAGCTAACTATGTCTCTTTTGATGCCTGAGGAATGGAAGAAATAGATGATTCTTTCAAAATAGTGAGTCTGCATTGAGAGTATCGAAAGATCCTTCCTATTTTTGGTGTAAAGAGAAGATTGTACAGATAGATGGCAAATTGGAGGGATGCCAACTGATGACATGGTTCATAAAAACAATTTTGAGATTAAAAAAACTCATTACCAACTCAGCGTGATATATTAACAAATGTACTAGTATGTCCGGTAGAAAGAACCAAAAACAGGAAGGTACTACCTCAACATCATAAAGGAGCAATAGCCTTTAGCTTATCACTTATTTATCCCCCCTCCCCGCACCCCCACCCACCCCCAAAAAAATAATATTTGCTTATCAGTATATCCCCAAAAAGACATTTAGCTTATCACTTCTTTATTCCCCAAAAAAAAAGAGAAGACATTTTGCTTATCACTATCCCTCTCATTATATTCCATTTTACTTATAACTAGAACTAGAAGAAGCCTCAAGTAGTTTCAACAACATATCCAGTGCCTCAACTAGTTTGGAATTGAGATATAATTGATTGATTGATAAATTTCTTTTTCTATAACAATTATTAATTGATTTCTAAGTAGAAGATAAATATAAATAAAATGGCAGACAAAGATAGTAAATAGTGGTAATAGTATCTTCTATGAACTACATAACATGGCTATATGGATTCACAAAAAGAAGGAAAAAGGCTCAAATATGCCATCGAACTTTCAAAAAAGGCTCATTTATGCCATCCGTTAAATTTTTTGCTCATTTATGTCATTGTTGTTAAAGAAAAGGCTCATCCATGCCATTTTTTTCAACTCCGGTTTTGCAAAACCACTTTCTACACCCCAAACAACGTTTAATACTTTTCAATTGAAGTTTTTGGATCAAATGTACTCTTTTTGTTTCTTCTTCCCTAAGAATACCAAGAACACATGAACAACTCCCAAATTTTCAACATCTTCAATTCTTCACGAAATCATCTCAAATTTCGGCTACATCATTCATTTCTTTTTTTAAAAAAAAACAAAATTCTAAAATCATTTGTAGAGTTTAAGAAATTCACCTGTATTAAAAAAAAATTCCAAAAAAATGAAAATCATATGTTAGTTGATAAGTGATTTTGCAATGTAAGAACAAATGCCTAACTGTCTCAACTGCTTCCCCACATAAACAACAACGTGTCACCAGAATGTTGTTTCTTTTCCTTAGATTCTCATGTGTTAGTACTGCCTCTTTTGCTAGCACCAAGTGAAACATGCCACCTTAAGTGGAGTTTTGGCTTTCCAGATTTGTCTCCAAGGCCAATTGAGAGTTAGAGGAGCCCTGTTTATGACCTTGTAACCTGAGTTCACTTTGTATCTTCCTTTGTTGTGCTCTGTCCACCGTAGGCAGTCCTCCCCTTCCTTCAAACCTTGAAATGATTCCAACCTTTTAAAGAACTCAACTAATCTACAAACTTCCCAGACATTTAAATTCCTTCAGCGATATAGATCCCAACCTTGGGGAGACCACATTTCAGCCACTATTTTGTCTTTATGTAGTGCTAAGTCAAAGATATCAGAATCGTGTCCTGATACCATTGTGTATTATAGTAGTATGATTCCTTAAGAAAGGCCACCAGTTCCTAATTGATCTCCAAACAGTAACACCATAGGAATTGGTTGCTTCCTTGGTGACCCATGAATCCATCTCTCCATACTTCAGTTTAATCACCTTGCTCCATAATGAGTATGGTTCATGAGCATATCTCCACAACCATTTCAGCTTTAGAGCCTTAATTTGGTTCTTCAAATTTTTTATGCCTAATTCTCCTCTTTTTTTTCCGTGATCAGAACTTTCCATTTTATCAGATGGTATCCCTTTCTTTTCTTATTTCTTTGCCCGAAAAAATCCCTTCTTAGTTTATCCAATCTTTGTACTACTCCTGCAGGTATTGGGAACAAAGTTAGCATGTACGTAGAAAGGGCATCTAAGAATGCATTTATCAAAGTGAGCCTGCCCCCCCCCCCCCCTCTTGATAAATATTGTGCTTTCCCTCTAACCAACTTCTTCTCACATTTCTTCAAGACAGAATTCCAAATTTCTTTGGACGGTAATTTTGCTCCCAATGGCATCCCCAGATATATAGCAGGTAGTGCTCCCACCTCGCCTCCTAGCACTGAGGCCAAAAGCTCCATATTAGAGACCAAGTTTATAGGATATAAATGGTTCTTTCCTAGTTGATGTGAAGACCTGACATGCCTTCAAAAAGCACCAGAATGACCCTGAGGTACCTTAGTTGTTCCTCATCTGCATCACAAAAAATCAAAGTGGCATCTGCATATTAGAGATGTGTTCCCTCCAAACTCCTCTCATTGTTTGTAGACACTTCAAATCATGTGACCCACCTATTGTTTTAGCTGTCTTGATCATGTTGTTAAGTCCCTCCATGACAAGAATAAAAATGACGGAGATAAAGGATCCCCTTGTCTAATTCCTCTTTGAGCTTCAAAAACAACTTCAAGAACACCATTAATGAGGACAAAAAACTTTACTATTGAAATGCAAAAATTATCTATCTAATCCACTTTTCTCCAAATCCCATTTTCCTGAGTATATTGAGAAGGAACCCAGTTAACATGATCATAAGCTTTCTCAATGTCCAGTTTGCATAGGATGCCTAGGTTTTTTTTTTTTATATAAGATAAGTGGTATTAATAACAGCATCAGGAAGATGCTAAATTTACAAGATATGGCATTTGAGCTTACAAAAAAATCTCTGGCTAACTATACAAACTATCTAACCCAGAGCTAATGAGTTAGTAAAATCCTGAAGTTGTTCTGCATTAGCAGCAAGATACAAGTTGGTCCGACTAAACAAATTTTCAGTGCACCTAGTCTTCAAAATGCCTAAAGCAGTTGACTCTCCATCAAAACATCTCTTGTTCCTCTCTAACCAAATACACCAAAAAATACAAGCAGGTATCATAATCCAGATCTTCTTGATGGCTTTGTCAACTTTCCATAGACTCCAACTCTCATATGCATCCTTAACAGTGAGGGGTGTGGTCCAATTGATGCCAGAGAGACAAAAAAACATGCTCCATAATTCTGAGGCCAGCTCACAATGAAGAAGAAGGTGTCTGGGGTTTTAGCCTCTTTTTTGCACATATAGCATCTGTTTGGGAATTGGATTTTTCTTTTCTTTTATGTTGTCTTGGGTGAGACATGCCTCATATAGAGCTATCCAGGTAAAAAAAACTACCTTAGGTGGTAGCTTGGTCCTCCAGATGAGTTTCCAGGGCCAGTTAGCTATCACGAGGTTTCTAGAGCACAACTGTTGATACCCTTCCTTGACTGTATAAACAACTTTCTGGTGTCCCCATTTGAGCTTATCAGCTGCCGGTAGATTAATGTGACAATGTTGTAGTTTAGCAAAAAGGTCTACCAGATCATTCACTTCCCAATCGTGCATATTCCTTCTAAATCTCAGATCCCAATTGATCTCTTCTTTATTAGCAGCAATAACAGAATTGGGATCTTGAGCAATTCTAAACAAATCTGGGAAATCCTCCGAAGAGTGGTATTTCCAAGCCATTTGTCTGTCCAAAATTTTAGGAGTAAACCATTGCCCAATTCAAAGTAAGCGTTCTGATCAAATGTATCCCACAACATCCTAATACTCTTCCACAGTCCCACTCCGTAAGGAAGTGTAGTAATATTTGAGCACCATTGATTCAGCCTTCCATGCTTAGCTATGATGACCTCTTTCCAGAGCCCTGCGTCTTCCAAGTTGTATCTCCAAAGCCACTTCATCATCATACTTTTGTTGTGGGCTGCAAAATTCTTAATGCCAAGACCTCCTTGGTATTTTGGTTGTGTGACCTTCTCCCATCGAATGAAATTTGTGTTTCTCCCTGTTGCCTTTCCAAAGGAAGTCCCTTCATGCCTGGTTTCTTTTGATCCACTCTAGAGTCTATTGCTTCATTTGCTATTGACACCGCATCCATTATTTGTCCTCCTTTGATGAAAGTCATCTGTTGGGAGTCTACCAGCTTGTACATCACCCTTTTGATTCTTTCTGTTAAGAATTTAGACAACAACTTATAGAAACTACCTATCAAGCTTATTGGTCTAAAGTTTTTAAGTTCCTTTGCTCCTTTCTTCTTTGGGATCAAGGCAATATATGTGGCATTGAAACACTTCTCAAACATTTCCTACTCATAGAAATTATGGAAGGCCTCCATGATATCATGTTTAAGAATTTCCCAACATTTGATGAAAAAACCCATAGTGTAACCATCAGGTCCTGGGGCTTTATCAATGGCACATAACTTCAAGCATTTATAAACTTCTTGCTCCTCAAATTTGGCCTGTAGTTGTGATATTTCTTCCTCTAATATTGAAGGACAATTCACTAAATTTTCATCAGGTCTCAATCTTGTTGAGTTATTGAATTCGCGCTCAAAAGATATCGAGTTTTGGTATCTAGCTCGGAGGGAAACTACTCTTGAAATTGGAGGTGATTTCGTGAAGAATCAAAGAAGTTTGAAATTTGGGAATTGTTAATATTCTTTATGTGTTCTTGGTGTTCTTAAGGAAGAAGAAGCAAAAAGAGTTCATTTGATCCAAAAACTCAAATTGAAAAGTGTTAAAAGTTGTTTGGGATGTAAACAATGGTTTTGCAAAATCAGAGTTAAAAAAATGGCATGGATGAGCCTTTTCTTTAACAACAATAGCATAGATGAGCCAAAACTTTTAATGGATTTTCTGAAAGTTCGATGGCATATTTGAGCCTTTTCCTCAAAAAGAAAGAACTTCTTTTACAAGATCTGAAATTTAATTTTTACAAGTCTAGGTTTAGACTTTTTAGGAGAAACCAAGGAAGTTACTACAGGGTTTTATGGTTTGACTAGTACCAAGACTGTTGAATTTGCAAGGTAAAGTAACTCCTGAGGCTTCTCCCTTGTAACAGATATACAAAAGCTCCTTTAAGGTACCTTTTATTTCCTTATACAGAAGGTATTAGGTTTTAGTGACAGGAAAGAACCGTTTACTTGAGATACAAGAGCTGGAAAGAATGGGGACAAAGATGGAAGCACACATCCAACATAAGGATATAGTTTCTACAAAAATGGGAAAAAAGAAAGGGATCTGTTGATTTACTTAGTTGCTGGATCAGAAGAGGGGGGAAACAAGAACCAAAATAAGTGGTGCAGAATCATCCCAGCATGCATATGGTGGACAGTTTGGAAAGAAAGGAATAGGAGATGTTTTGAGGATAGATTTAATTTCATATAAAAAGTTAATGGTAATTGTATTGTATCCTTATATTTTTGGTGTAAAGAGGAATATATAGAAGAAGTAGAACAGATAGTTGGTCTTTTAGGCTCTTCGTAATTACTTTTGCTCCTTTGTGTCTCTTTTTTGGAGGTCTCCAGCATTAAGGAGGAATATAACATTACCATTTTTATTTTACTTTTAAAAAAAAGATCTCTTAATGCATTCTGCTGGAGGAAAGAACAGAATAAATTAGAGCTTAATGATAGAAATTTCATTTATTAGGGAATTTGCAACTGCAGACACAATTTTAGACTTTGAAAACATCCTTAGGCCACCAAAAGATGGTTGCTTTGAATGGAAAATGGAGGAAACCATTGTCTGTTTGATTTGACTAAAAACTATTGTTTCCCAGATTCTACCTAAACATCAACCCCAGCCCCAATAAGAAAGAGTGAAGAATAAATTCTGTAGCTGGCATAATCGCATGATCAGCAATTGCAGGTTCAAAACCGAATATGAACATAGTTAATATAAAACAGTAAAATCATATCTCATAAATAGAGAAATCTAAAGGAGTTGCAGAATGGTGTAAGTTGTGCATTGGTTCCCATACAAACTACCAAAAACTAACACACACAAAAAGGGAGAAGGACGATAAAACCTTGAAGCTTCTGAAGTGCTCCTCTAAATACTTTCTCGGGGCATATGTCAAATACTAAAGTTGATGTGGGCCAATTGAGCCTGTAAGGTCGCGTATCCAGTCCATCTGTTAACAAAACAACCTGCAGCATGTGTGTGGAGTAGTGCCCATCAAAACCAATTAATTAGATCCTTGTTAATATTGGTTTCATACCTGTTTCAGTCCATCAGTAGATTGCATTGTTTCAAGCAACTTGTCATCAATAAACTTAGTTGCAAGACAGTATGGATGCAGCTCTTGATCCATGTCTTCGACACTATTACAAGGAAGAAGGCAGCCGACATAAGGGTCAATAAGGAGAGGATCTGCAAAAGCAAAAATTAAGTCTTGAACCTAGTAACTCAATCGAATTTGATTCTTTTCAATTTCAACAACCCTGTAGTGTAGCCATCAAAGCTAAGAAAATTGAAAAATGGATTTGCCTGGAGAGTGAGACTCCCGGAAACGAAGTGAAGCTCGTTCAATGGCGGCCTGGAAAAAAGGGTCATTTTCTTGTTGAACCTTGAAGCTTGCTCGAGCTCTAATGCTGAAATATGTGCTCTGTGTTGAAAAGGGGAAAAAATGAACCCTGCCTCGTAACACTTCCATTCTACACTCTACAATGAATCTTTTAGGGACTATTTCTATCTTTTAGTTTTGTTTTTTTTTCAATTGAACCAAGTATCCTATGAACATTTGAAACAAGGCAAAATGGTCGGGTGATACCTATACTTGTACCCGTTTGTATTGTAAACCCTTCAACTTATCCCTTTGTCATCTGAACCCTTACACTTAATAAAACATAATATATCAAACCCCTCTGACCGTTGACCATGCCTATGTGGCATTAATATGGTTGAGTTGGCAAGAGAGTGAGACCACACGCCTATTAAGGCAAGTGAACATCATATTTAAATTAAAGAGTAAATAATAAACATAAAAAGAAAATTGAAACCTTTCTTCTTCACCCAACGACCCACTTTTTCAGCAATTAATTAAGAAGTCATTTCTTCTTCCCTCACTATCCCCTCCTTTTTTGGCCATTCTCACGCTTGAACAAACTTTTTATTTTCTTCTTCGCAATTTACCAACACCTATTTAGCAAGGTTTAGCAATCCGCTGAATGTTCTTTGTGGCAGTCTCTTTTTAATTTTTGAGATTGGATTTGATTGGGAGAAATGCTCACACCTTTTTCAGCTTGAAATTTTGTTCTTTTTTTTCTTTTGGCAAAAATATACTATTTGTTAAAATACGGTAGCCACTTTTAATTTATCCGTCGAGGTTTTGGGGTGTATTTCTATGTGACGACTGTCTGTGCTTTGTACTATTAAGTGACTCCAGTATTTGGAAATAGGTTTTGTTGCAAAAAAAAAACACCTATTTAGCAATTCTTGGCGACTGATTCACCGCGAGAAGGAGAAAACGGATCAGCTCTCGCCGGAGACCACTGAATTGCAGTGGCGTGAGAGAGAGGCGACACTGGCTAGTGGAGAGGAGAACGAGGTGGGGTGCGGTCATGGTGGTGAAGAGGTTTTTGGTCCAGATCTGGTGGTGCGGTGGCTTTAGGTTGTTGTTTTTGTGGAGATTGGAGGAGGAAATAAAAATAGTGATGGTGTGCGGTGGAGATGAAGATAGTGAGGGAGAAAGTATATGTGATTTCGCCGGCAAAAATGGCGACGACGGCGGCCATGACTTTCTCTGGTCAATGGGGGTCCCTGGTGGTTCGCAGGAGTCGTCGATGGTACGGAAAAAAGAAGACAGTGGAGAGGGGAACGAGGCTGGTGTGGCAGCTTATGGTTTTTGGATTTGTGGAGGTTGGAGAAGGATGAGGTAAGAAAAATGGTGAAAATGTGCGATGAAGACGGAGACAGATGAGGGAGAGAGTATTTGTGGTCTCGCCGGCAAGAGGAGTGGTGGCAGCGACAAATTTCTTCGGCGATGGTCCCTTTTCACGGTGAAAATGGCAGATGATGTAGGAGACCAAATTTTAATTTAGAAGAATAATTAATTATTTTTTTTAAGTTTTGAATCAAAACTTTATGATTGTTTGTCCAAAAGAATTATTATAAAAATAAAAATGATTTGGCAAAATTTATCTTACATGGAATGTGACATCAGCGCGATTGAGAGTCACCATGAGTTGAAAGGGTTCAACATGTTGAGTTTAAATGAGTTCGGGGGTTCAGATGACAAAGGGGTAAGTAGAAGAGTTCACAATACAAACGGGTACAAGTACAAGGGTCCACCAGACCATTTAGCCTTTGAAACAATTATAAGATACAATATAATGAAGTTGAGAAAAATGCCATTTGCTAAAAGTTATAAAGTTAAATGAAATAAAGATCAACAACAACTCTATAAATAACATTTTATAGATATTTTATAATTTAAAGTAATATTTCTTGAGTTTTATTAATAATCAATGTATATGTAAGTTAACTTTAAAGTCAATTATCCTTTCTTCAATTAAAAAAATATATAATAAGAAATAAGAATATTTTTTATTTATTAGAAAAAAATTCATATATTTTTCTACATAATCCATATTATCGGTTAAAAAAAAATATATGTTATTATTTTATTTTAATTCATAAAATGAGATTAAAATTGACATAATTAGTTAAAGAGACTTTGAAAGAAAATAAACAAGAAAGAGATAAAAGTAACATTTTATTCGAAAAAGAATGGATTTAATGATAAAACAATATGTTCTCATTCTACCCAACTAAATAATAATAAATGTATTTGGACCAAACTATAATGATACAATAAATTATGAATAAATCATTGAGAAAAGTAATATTCTTAAACTATACGTGAATTATTAATTTCATCCCTAAACTATAGACAATCATAAACACACCCATAAGATATATGTATATATATATATATATATATACACTTAGACTTGCTTATGTAGCATGCCTCTAAGGTCACCATTTGCATTTATATTTTTTCTTCTTTTTTTGGCCTTTTTTTTTCTTATTTAAATTAGTTTATTACTTACATATATGTTTAAAAAGGACAAAATTCTTTATTACAGGAGAAATATGTTACTGGAGAGTTTATAAGTTACAAGTGTTACGGAAGACATAGAGACGTGTTCCGTTATCAAAAACCAAAAAGCATCTGCTGTATTTATCTTACCCTCATTCCGTTACTCTCACATCTTCTATTTATTCCTTCATTTTGGTTGTCTTCTTCTTGTAACTATGTCGTCCTTCCTCTAATCATTTCATTCTCATGTCAATTCATATTTTATATAAAAGGAGCATACTCATGAATGGTGAAAAGATGAAAAGAAGACTAAAGAGTGATTTCAGTATATGAACAAAGATGCTTTCATCGATGGTCAGTTGGTCACTTGATATAAATGATCAGTTTGTGATAGTGAATTTTTTTCTTTATTGTATTGAAATTTCAAGTATATATATATATATATATATATATTGTATAATATGTAATAGTACCATATAATTAGTTAGTGTACTAGATTTCTTTGACTTGTATGTAATTGTTGAACCATTTATTTATTTATTTTTACATCCGGTGTTCGAAGTTCGCATTAGAGTTTCGGTTAAATTCAAATCGCACAGGATCCATTCGGGGGTACGGTGACGCTCCCATTGAACCATTCATAGAAACATATGCATCAGCTTTTCGAGTCTCTTTGTCTTTTATAAAATATTCAGAAGATGAAGTTCATCATTAATTTGATTTGACTTTTAAGCTTGGCTAATAGTTTTTCCTTCTCAATTTGAGTATGTGATAATATTGGATATGTCAAATTTGCGTCAAAGTGTTAGTTCTAAGTTGATTGAATCCTGACCCATTGCAGAGGTAAAATGAGGCGTTATTGCACATATGTCATCGTTTATTTGTTATATTGTTCAAGAAATTTGTAAAATTACTGATCAGTGAGATTATGACAATTTCCGAACTATTTGATTCTTTTGGTGAGCCTCTATTTATTGAAAAAGAAATTGTTAAATCAATTTAATCTCAAAAATAAAACAAACTACTTAGATGCATAACTATATTGATTGGTAATTTCCTTTCATTTGTTATTAAAAATATGAAAGCATATATGATACTTGCAGATGGATTTGGCTCATTTCCATTAAAATAATAATTATAATAATAATCTATCTATCTATATATATATATAAAGCTGGATATAAAATTGCTGATGTGGCACCTCTCAAAAGTTAGGATTCTTATTTATCTTTTCTCTTATTTTTTTGAGTTTTTTCATAGTTTTAATCTATGTAATATGTTTAAAAAAATAAAAGTTATCTCATTTATTAATAAGAAAAGATGAAACTGTCATTTTAAGTGAATTAAAACTAGCACGGTTAGTAATTATTAGCATTGCCCATTCCTATTCCCATCTCTAATGTTACTTTTTCTTCTCATGTCTTTTGATATTTCATATAAATTTGTATATTGTTATACACTTTCATAATTGTTCATTTTTATTTTTTAAATACACTCTCTATAATTATCATCTATATTTATATATATTTTAAACCTAAACTTAGAAGACATGATGTGATATGCTTCAAAGCCAACAAAATTGTAATGCTATTTTATCTCTTTTTTGGTTATTTTTATTTCATTTTGTTTATTTATTTATCCATTAAGTTTTTGAGTATTAAAAACTTGATTCATTGAAGTTAATTATCGCTTTATTATGCAACCTTTTGCATTCTCACTTTCAGTTTTAAGCTACACATTGAATGGGGCAATAACTAGAAAAGGATAAGCAAAACAAAATCGGCTATATAAGGCTTATGTGCAGGGGCAGATCTATGAAGAGGTGTGGGGGTGCCACGCCACCCCCTAACTTCGACGGAAACTCTATATATACATAGGTGTATATATATAGAGCGTGCCACCCAGAGAACAAAATTGGCTTGTGGTGTCACGGTAGGAGAGCAACTTTAGAAGGCTGATGTTGCGGGTTTGAATCCTATTTGTACCTATTTTTTTGAGAAATTTGTTGCAGGCGTTTTTTAAGGAAAAAAAAAAGGCTCCAAGCACGTTTTTTTAAGGAAAAACAGCTGGCACAATTTTTATTTTATTTTATAATTGTTATTGACTTAAATTAAATTAATTACATTATTACTTCTTTGATTTTTCTTTATTTGATTAAATACTCAATAAAAGTGTAATGTCTTATTATTTATATTTTATTGATTGATTTATGATATATATCGAAAAGTCGAATAATTTAATCAAATATAAAATTAATATAATCGATAAGTCTATTTGGCACCCACAGACTCTAAATCCTGGATCCGTCACTGCTTATGTGCAAAATGGTTGTGTATGAATGGTATGAGGCATACATGTTTAAAGAGAGATCTATTCTTTTGTTTTAATTTTAATTTTTGGTCTTGCACAGTTCCAAAGAAAAAAAATGTGTTTTAGTTTTAAGAAGCTTTAATTTGTTTCATCGTCTCCCCAAAATGTACAGATCAATTTTATGAACGTGGAAGAGATTGGTAAATAACTACTAACTGATCTTGCAATATCTTTTTTCTTTTTATTGCTCTCTCTCCTTCTTGATTCTCCATAATTTTTCATAAATTTCTTACTTCGACTACTAATTCTGAACTTTTCGAATGAATCATGTGTTCTTTTTTACAGAGGCACGCAACGACCAACATAAAAAGTACTAAGATGATT